AAATATGATTTGTTTAAATAATAATAAATCGATATTAACATCTCTTCTACTTTTTATGTTAAATTAATATCGTGCCGTCCATACTAATGCTATTGATAATTTGCATTGTACACTAAAAACACATTCTGAAATTCATGGTGTTATGGTTGGATATATTAATATGTTGTGATTCGAGACAAAACCAATTAGATTCAAATAGAAATCATGTATAAATATTGCTCTAAAAAATGAAAAGTCTAAAATTCTGATAATTATATATTTCAATCTTTTCACTGTAATGTTTAAAATCTTATTCAAATACTTCATAAAGTTACACAAGATACAATCAGTTAGATTCGAATAAAAAAACATATATAAATACTGCTCTTAATGTGCATTTGATTATAATTCAACTACCAACATGTTTAATACTACATCTCATTCTTTTTCTCATACCCATGGAGACATACGGGTCTTCTACTAATTTTTCTTATAATTACTACTTTCAAAATCACTATATTTAAAGTTTTTAATAATATTATCATAAAATATACAATTTTATTAAATCAACCTTAAAGTATTAAAATAAATATACAAAGTAAACAATGGATGAGGGAATAATAACTAAAATAATATATAATAAAAATGTAAAAAATAGAAAAAACAAAATTATTTAAACAAAAAAAATATTATTTAAAAAATATATATATTTTTTCGTGTTTAAATTCATATAAATTAAATTATTTTTTCGTCAATATATGTCAAACATTTGAAAATATAATTTTATGTGACAATGACAAAATATTTTCCACAATTTAAAAAAATAATTAATTTGTTCTCGTTAAAAAAATATATTAACGTTCACTCATTAATTTAAAAATATTAATTAATTTATAAAAGACCTATATTTTTTCCATATTTAAATATTTAAGTTAATTTATAAGAAATATATTTTCTCATATTTAAATAGAGAGTACGCTAATATATATGCTTTTCCGTGTGTGTAAATATATATATATATATATATATATATATATATATATATATATATATATATATATATATATATATATATATATATATATATATATATATATATATATATATATATATATATATATATATATATATATATATATATATATATATATATTGTGAAATTATTATACCAATATATATAACTTCTCTAGTATTTAATTGTGCAAACATTGTTTTAATTGTATAAATTTTAAGTAGTAATATAAATTGCAAGCTTTTTTTTATATAACAATAATATTGTTTCTCAAAATATTTGGATTAATCATAAATTTATTTCATAGTTATATCTTATGCTATGAACTGCACATAGACTCTATATTTTGCCTTGTATTTGATAAATTTCAATTCGACTAAGTATGAGTCAACTTGTAGGTGCCTGTTTGAGACTACAGAGGACTTTGTGCAACTTGTACATTTTCTTTGCTCTTGCTTGTATCACAGACCCGGGAGGTTGTGTGATATACATGACTTCATCTAGGGTACCATTAGAAAATGATGAGTTCACATCTAAGTGAAATGCCGACCAACCTTGTTTGCATCCAAGACTACCACCAATCTGACAATTTCAATCTTGCTACTGATGCATATACTTCAGAGTAGTCAAGTCCTGCTCTCTGAAGAAATCCTCGAGCTACTAATCTTGTCTTATGTCTTAAAGTCAACCTGTCAGGATTGTGCTTCAGCTGGAACACCAATTTTACTTAGATAATTTTTATGTGTTTTGGCAATTCGATTAGCTCCCACGTATTATTTTTTTCAATCGCTTGTAACTCTTCAATCATAGTTGACTTCCACTATTTATTCTTTAAAGCCTCACTACAGTTGATTGGTTTACACTTAAAAGTAAAGCAAAATGAACCAATTCTCCATATGGTGTGACTTCATCATCACTAACCACTTCATAGTCCTGAAGCCTTGTTGGAAGAGCACTGGTTCTTTGAGGTCTTTGACTTGTACTAGCCACATCGAGAAAGCAATCAGTGGTAGCATTATCATCATGTGAGACATAGTATATAGCAGGATTCTATACTTCTTGTCAAGCAATCTAGATCAGATCTGTGCCGGATGAGATGAAGGTCGAAGTGAAGAAACATCTGGTTCTGCAGACCGATAACAATTCAACTATTAATCTTGCAAAGAATTCAGTTAAGCATGGAAGGAGTAAGCACATTAAGGTTATCTTTCACTTCCTAAGGAAAAAGGTGAATCAAGATGAACTTGAAGTGATACGTTGCTCGAGTGAAGCACAATTGGGTGACATTTTCACCAAAGGATTAAAGATCGACAGATTCTTGACTTTGAGAAAGAAACTATTGATAATTCAGATTAATTATGATTAGTTTGTGTTTGATAACTTGGATTATAAAAAAGTATGTTGTGATATAATCCAAGTTAGTTAGGTATTTGGTTAACAAGTTAGTTAGTTACTTTGACTGCAAGTAACCTATATATATATATATATATATATATATATATATATATATATATATATATATATATATATATATATATATATATATATATATATATATATATATATATATATATATATATATATATATATATATATATATATATATATATATATATATATATATATATATATATATATATATATATATATATATATATATATATATATATATATATATATATATATATATATATATATATATATATATATATATATATATATATATATATATATATATATTAATTCAGTTTTTAACTTTTCTAATACAATTACTTTTCTCTCTCACACACACTCTCTCTCCCTCTCTCTCTCCCAAGTGCTTTTACATTAACAAGAAATATAAGAAATTTGATGTATTATTTGTTATAAAAAAATGAAATATAAGAAATTTGATGTATTATTTGTTATAAAAAAAATGATAGAATAGAAGAGAGAAGTGTAAACATTTTTAAAAAGACAAAGAAAAGTGTAAAAATAAAAATAAAAAAACAAAAATATCCATTAATTTAGTTAATACTATAGGATAAATTAAAAAAATGGGTTAAAATTAATTATTCAATGAGTGATAAAGTTGGAAAATTTACAGTCTTCCTCATTTCTCTCCTAATATGAAAAGATTAGAAAAATGATAGGCCCATGAATTATAACTCTCTCTTGTCTTTCTCACCACAACCAAACAAGAGAAGTTTGTTACTTCTCTTCAACCTCTCTCTTTTCTTTTTCTCCTCTATCAATCAAACCCTTAGTACTAATGTTCAACCTTGGACTAGGATTTGCAGACATTAAATGATAAATTTAATCTATAAACTACCAGTTAATTGAAAATATAATAACAACCACTCCTGAAAGGAAATGAGGTGCAAATAGCAAATCTCATCCAATAATGCTATGACCCAGCCCATACTAGCAGATCTCAGCCCATCCTAAATGCAATTTCGTATCTCCCTCTGTCCATCGCTGCACTGACGACTGAATGAACTGGAATACTCTCTACTGTCCAGAGCTAAAATAAGGTAACTTCATGTTTCAAATCCTTAATATCATTCTGAAATTTCATTGAAATTGATTCATTCACACCATTCATATTGTATTCTTAATCTTTGCAGAATACACGCTAATAGAAGAATAAAAAGGGCAGTTGTTAGAAATTAGGGTTTGGGTAGAGAAATGTTTGGAACGGCGATTAGAAATGCAGCAAAGAAATTGAAGCCAAAGATGGGAGCGGTGACGCTGACAACGCCACCCGAACAGAGACAAACGATAACCAGAACTCTCTTTGATATCGTCAAGGAGCATGGTCCAATCACAGTTTCTAACACATGGGAACGCGTCAAGGTTCATAATCTCTCTAATTAGTCGATTAATCTATATATCCACTATTTGTTTTTAATTTATTTAATCATATTGTTGCTGCATTATGTTTTGATGAATGAAAAATGAGGATACACTCATGATGTTTCTTCATTTTCCAATCTAGTTTTTGTAACCCTAAATTGATGCTATTTTTTAAGTCAATTTTATTTGCAATAATTGAAGTAGTAAATTTTTTTTTGTTTTGAAACACTTTTCCAGTGTTGTCAAATAGTTGTTATAGTGGCGCTACAGCGCAGAATGCAGATTGATTAGAACCAATAAGTAATTTTCTCTTAGTACAAAGTGTTGTGAAATTGTGGTTATAACGGCCATATAGTAGTATTGCCGTGTAGTAGGATTTGAGAAATTGCTATTTTTCGTGAGCTGTGATTGATAACATTGCACATATGACATGTTTACGATATTAGTGGGAAAAACTAAGTATTTCCACATATTATGCTAAGTTTGGTGTATTGGGTGTTAGAAAGAAAATGCTCACATTATATTGAAAGTGATAGGACACATTATTTTGCATGAATTGGGATGTCTTTGCCTATGTATTGGGATGTCTTTGTCAAAGGAGATATTTCTGCTATTTGTTAACTACGTCGCACACAATTGCAATTTTTTGTAGAAACTTGAAAAGTTGTGTATTACTGGTAAACTTGAGTAATCCACCCAAGAGTTTCATGGAATAATATCTAGTTATCTATTCACTCACCAAAGACTTTTTTTTACTCCTAGTGATCAGCTATATTTGCTGATTCCTCTTGGATCTGAATTTGTCAGTTCTTCATAACATTTGTTTGTAATAGTAGAGGGAAATGACTTTGTACAATGTCAAGAACGGATAGTGGGTATTTATTGTTTCTTCTCTCATATTTCTGATGTCATTGCAAAATGTCATTACTTTGAAGGTGAATGTAAACTTTTCTAGAGTTTAACATTGAATTTTACTATCATAAGTATTGACTGTGTATTAGAACTACTCCCTCAGAGTAATGTTTAGAAATTTGACTAGTATTTTCTCGCGATCTATATGCACACAGGGTTTTGTTTTCTTGTGACGAAAACCTTATGAATGCCACAGATCTGTGCATCTGTTGAGTTTCTATTGACTGATTGAGTTTTATCATCACCTTCAATGTTTTTCCAGGAAGTTGGACTGAAAGATTTGACAAGCAAGAATCACATGAAAGTAGTTTTGAGATGGATGAGAGAGAGACAAAAGCTTCGTCTTGTTTGCAACCATGTAGGCGCTCATAAACAGTTCCTCTATACTACTTGGTTTACCAAACCAGGTACTGCTCAAGCTGCAATAACAACGCCAACAACAACAACAGCGAGAAGCATTCCTTCAAAGAAAAAGCTAGCACGAACTTGAAGCTTTTACCATCAATAGCCATTAGTCAAGACCCGGGAGAGGATGGACCAACTGTTTTATGCAATGGGAAGAATAATGTAAGATTATAGTATAATCTCAGTCTCAAATATTTGAATATTGGGCCATATGGTTGATAGAATACTAACACTATGTATTGGTGCTTTGCTAAACTGTTTTCTCTCATTGTTAGCATTATGTATTGGCATATCCTCTGCCTGGTAACTTGATAAGAACAAGAGTTGGTTCCAAAATATTTTCTACAAGACATAACACATGTTTCAAACATCTTTTAAGAAGTAAAGTTGTATTGTGAAACCCATCTATCAATGAATTCAGGGTAATTTCTTCAAAGCCCTTTTGAATTGTTTTCCTCATGTTCTTATATCATCTGAATGAATGAATTTAGGTTGTTTTGAAAGTGAATTATTGGGCTGTGATGTGATACATAAAAGAGAAGTCATGAACAATTGCAGAATTGTTCGTCCATTTGTAGGATTTTTTGGTATCTAAAACGAAAGATTCGATATAACCCGCCAGGAAGGTTGGATTTGATTGTTGCACTTATAACATTTATTTATTTATTTTATGTACATCAATATTTATTTTTCTTTTTCTAACAAGCTTAGTGGCAAAACTGTACACACAAAGTGCTGATAAGTAGAAAATTGCCACTTCAAACTCGCCGGAGGACTGCTTGCCCCTCTTTTGGATAAACAAGATTAAGTCATTTTGAAAGTGAATTGTTTAGTTGTCTCTTGATCGATGATGGATAATTGACTACCAAGTCTACTAGGATTGTTATCAAAGTAATAAAATAAAAAAAACCCGTCTTAACGGAGATTACGAATGTGATGCAAATAAAAATAGTAAACAGTGAATTTTTCAAGTTGTTTGGTCGAAAATGCAAGGGATAAAAACGCAAGTGATAAGTTTCTATAACAATGTGATAAAGGTGGTTAGGTTTTATTATCAACATTTCCTATTTCTATTTGATTGATGAAACTTGCCCTAACAAACATGCAATGCAATGACTACATAGTTAGACGACAAATTAATTTTACCATTATACCTAATCTTTTGGTGTGTAGCTCACTAGTCTAAGTGTCAATTCCACGATCTCTTAGACCAATTGTACCGTCAAGCTAGACAATAAAGCACGTTAGTCCGTAAGTCATAATTTCTAATTAAATCATCTTTAATTAATTAGCGAATTCAACACTTATAATAGTTCAAATAAATAACCTTTGAGTCAGTAGTCACTACTTATCAAAATCAAATTGAATGTCGTAACAAACAATAGACAATGAGAACAATTAATAACTGAATAATAACAAAGAGTCAAAATAGTTACAATAACGTCATCCGATCATATGTGTCAATAAAATGAAACTAGGTTCATAATCAAATAAGACCTAACTTAAGAGGAATCTAACTACTCATGTTGAAATAAATCAATACCATAATTATAGACTCGAAGATCATGAAAAATCACAAAAGAAAAAGTTCTCCAATGGCTTAAATGACCCATGAAAGTTCCAAAATTGACAAAGTCTGTCGTTTTCTCTCCAGTGAATTGAACCCATTTTTTCTTCTCCTCCTTTTCCTTTTAAAGCCAACAAAAAGTGTGTCAGAAAAGCCTAGCAACGCGATCGCTCTAAGGGGGCAACGCGATCACGCTAAGGAGGCAACGCGAACGTGTTGAGTAATGATAATCAAAATGAGATCGCGTTAATTCTAGTAGCTTCATCGTGTTTTTGTTCCTTGTTTCACTAATTTTCACACCAAGTCCTTTTCTTCACTCTGTCACTTTTGTTGAGAATTACAAGAGTGAGTAGTGTGGGAGAGTCTCATATTAATTAGAAATGTCGAGACTTGAGCGTTTATAAGTAGGAGAACTCACACACCTATCACCTTAAGGTTTTGAATGAGTATGTGGTGTGTCTCTCATAAAGGTGTATTGTTCTTAAAGAAAACTCCCAAAGTAAAAATGTTCCCTCGTGTTTGACTCCCAAATAGCGCAAGCAGTGGTATCATGAGTCTTTGATTCGAGTGAAGTGACTGACTCACTTGTATCGAAAGTATTCCCACATGGTCATGGACATAGTGTTTTATTGAAGAGTTTCAACGACTATACAAGTGTATGTGATAGAAAAGAAGTTTCTGCTTGAGGGAGAATATTGTGGATAAACTTACATTTGAGTTAGAATGTTGAGAATTACAAGTATGAGTAGTGTATGAAAGTCTCACATTGATTAGAACTATGAATACTTTAATATTTATAAGTGGGAAAAATCATACAACTATCACCTTAAGGTTTTTGGTGGGTATATTGTGTCTCTCTCACAAAGGTGTGTTGTTCTTAAATAAAACCTCTAAAGTAAAAATGCTCCATCGTGTTTGATCCCCCGAATAACCCCAACAACTTTTCCATTCTTTTTTCACATTTTCACTTCTAACTTGCTCATTCTAAGAGCGATTTATGCAATTTATTTTGTTAACTAACATGCAATGACGACATATCATCAATCAACATCCCAATTCAAAAAATAAAATATGATTTAAAAGAAGGGTTAAATACACAACGCCCCCTGCAAAGTTAGCGAGATTTACTTTTTTCCCTTGTAAATGATTTTTTTAATCCCCCCTCGTAATACTCAAATTTCGTCACTTAGGCCCCCGATTGTCAGAATACACCCAAGATTCCCTCAATTTTGCCAGCATGGCCTTGCTTATTTGACACCATGGCATTATTCTTTTTTTTTTTAACAAAATTTGTGTCACACTATGACATTTTCCCCCAATCTCAATTTATTAGGGTTTCAACGGTTCTAAGGCCACAAAATTCTTCCCCTTTATTCATCTATTCGTCACTAGGGTTTGTAGGCCAATACATTTTTCACCTTTTTTCATCTTTTCTGTCTGCTAGTTCATCGTGGTTTGAATCATGGGTGGAAACAAAACATCATCTGTTGACATCTCAAGTGGACTGAGCTTGCCAAAATGTGACTGTAATAAACCAATGAAGATGTGGGTATCAAACACCATTGATAACCCAAATCGAAATTCTGGAAATGCAGACCCATTCGCCTAAGCTGATGGTGTCTTGATCTTTATCTTCACCAGCAGACTCATTCATGACAACTCTCTTGGATAAAGACCACATAATCCTGCTGACCAGATGTCCCTTCAAGAAAATATTTGAGAGAATCCCAAACACTTTTGGTCATAACACATGTGTTTAGCAATCTGAACACATGCTACACATCTCCTTTGGCTAGGGAATTCACACCTTAGGATAACAAGAGTCATCACAAACTCTTTCTTCCAAGGACAAAACCACACACTCTTTGATGCCAATTGAAATTTTCTGGCGTTGTACCACATGTTAATAATACTGATGTCCTCACATCAGAACACAATGTCATGACAGGTGTTTTGACATCTTCAAACTAACAGAACAACATTACCAATCATTTATTATGCAGAAACTGTAAATTGCATAATGGTAAATAACACGGTTAATTCTTAACCCAATTCGGTGCAACTTACCTACATTAGGGGCATCCAAACAAGGAAAGAAATGCACTATAATATTATTAGTTCAATCTAAACTCCCCCGTTTATAACTTATCACCTAATTGCTACCCGTGCTATTTCTACCTAAGAACTCTTAGATATGAGAAACTCATCTCACTTCCCACAATCACATCAGTGATATAACCAGTCACAAAGCAGTGACAGGAACCTAAGGAAAAGATTACACTTCCAATAAACAATACTTAGTTTTTCTTAAAAGTTTTAAACTAAGAAAAATATACTCGTACTTAAAAGCTTTAGAGTGAGAACAACAAACAATCAATAATCTGTCTACCACAGTGTATCAAGAGATACAAAGGGTGACTTACAAAGTCACACACAAGAGACTCTCAAATCCTAAGTTTCTAAACCTTTCCCTAGTTTTACAAAAGTGAAAAAAAAACCATTAACACATTAGGTTTAAGTTGCTCTTTAAATACTCCTCAGCAATCCATGGATTTTGAAATCTTCACCAAGATAATTCTTGATCCATAAGTTAAGGGCTGCATCAATTGTGTAAAAAAAATCTCCTTGAATCTTGGAACAAATCATCAAGTTTCCTAAATTGTCTCAACATCCAATTTTAGAAACTTATGAACAGTTGGAGATCAAATCAAATGTTCCAGATTAAATCTTCTTGACCTGCAAACATAAGTGAGATATATCCAACCGAAACCTCATAAAATTAAATCAAATAACACTTCAAATATTCCCAAAATATTCTACATGAAAATAGAACAAAAGATTACAAAGATAACTCCACAAAATATGCAACGAAACTCTTTCGATTCAAATAAAATTCACCCTAATTTGCATCAGCAATATCTCTTACCAGATAAGCACAAAAGATTTCTAACAAATAACAACAAATAAATCACAACATTCTGAAATGAATGTTGTTATGTTCTGTAATAACATGTTAGAACATCAGATTTGACATCCTGTATCCTAACTCTGCACATCTTGAACAAACAACCTGCTGAGATGTTTGACTCACATGTCAAGACATCTTGCACAACATGTAGTTGCAGCAACACGTTTTAGCAAAATGCAGCCAACATAGAACTTTCAGAAGAAAGTATTTACTTAAAAACACAGCTCACTTTCGCGCAGCCGGTGTCATGTTTCGAAACCGTAAAAGTCATGTTGTCGCTTCACAAGTTACAACTTCGAAACAATTTTTGAAACCCAATAAGTCCTAATCAATTACTAAAGCGCCATCATCGTTTTTAGAAATTAAAAATTCATTTTTTATTAATCGAATATCGGTCTCACACTGTCTTGTTGTTGACTTATATCTGAATGTTTCCGTTTTCACGAAAAAAATTTTAACTTTAAAAACTAAAAATTCAGAATCGAAAAAATAAATTAATATTAGAACTCGATAAATTTACCGAATTCCGTCGGAACGATAGTCCTCACAT